ACACACACACACACACACACACACACACACACACACACACACACATATATATATATCAAGAAAAAGTACTGATCTCACAAACAACAACAATAATAAAGCTTTCTCTGTAGTACCTTTTCAAATCATACTGCGAAATATTTTCCAAAATTATTTACAAAATACAACCAAGCTATCCCATCCAATGTCATCACGTTATACAGCATTTGAGATCTTGATTAGAGCGGCACATTTTTACAGTTTTTCCTTTAAAATAACAGTTACATCAACGTCAATACTCTTCTTATTTGACTTTTTTTTCGTCTCTACTTACACTTTTTCAGGATCGAGGTTCAACATTTTCAGAGCAGCGTCTGCAGCCTGGTGTCTGGCAGCCTTTTTAGTGGAACCTTGACCTGAAATAAAATTCAGTGAGAAATTTATTATAGACGTTACAATAATAGTTACTATTTTAGATAAAATGAACCTTTAATTCTTAAAGATATCCAACAGGAACCAAGAACGAGGAAAAAAACTTTTTTTAGGAAAGTCTGAATTCAGACTTTACAGCAATCTACTTTAATGTAATAAGTTGATATTTTGGTCTTGAAAAATGGGTCTTTTATGGTTTATWCTGTTGGTAAAATAAGATCAAAAACTACAACTTATGGTAGTAATATTTAAGACCAACTTCAATTGAATGTTTTGTTCAGTGACTGATCAGGACAGGCAATGCTGTCACCTACCTGTACAATTAATGTCTCCCACTGTCACACTGAAGAAGAAGTGGGGCTGGTGACCACTTCCTTCAGCCTTCTCCATCACATACACAGGTGGGGTGCCACTGGCAGTGCCGTATTCATGCAACATTTGTATTGGAGTCTTACCGCTCCACTGTGCTTCTTGTAAATTCAAGCTGAATAATCAACAGAGACAAAAACACAGATAAGATGCTGCACAATTACACCAAATTACTGGTTAGGGAGATTTTATTTCAGTAAAATCTTGGAACGCAAGGTACCAACATGTACAAATTCTAGTTGAATTACAGTAAATTTTAATAATAAGAAATAAAAATGAGCAATTTTGGGGTTATTTCATACAAAGCATGAAAAATTAATTAACAAATCTCTCATGAATGACTGATAAATTGTGAGAAGAGGCTAGAACAAGTTATATTTAAGTTATTTTTTTAAATGATAATTTCTTTTACATAAATCTCAAACTTGTAAAAATAAACAATTTGATACTTTAAAGCTAAACAATGCATAGACTTGTAAAACCTATCACTGACTTTGGAAATAATTTAGGAAACTAAAGACAGTAAAAATGTCCACCTTCAAGTGAGCAGTTCATGATAAACAATGAGTCACAATGTATTTGTGCAGGCAGGATATATTTAGTAATTAATATTTCAAGAAGCTGAAGCAGTTAGCTAAACTTAACCTGTTGTAAAAATATTAACACAAATGTGAGTTCTGCAATGTTATCTTATGTTAGCCAAAAACACAGCTATTAGAAGTAGTCCTTTTTTAAGTTGTATTGCTCGGGGTTTGTGTTGTTTCTTTTCTACAACCAGAAGATTGTAAATGCTATTAGTTTATATTAATTATGTTTCTACATTAAAACTTAAACTACAAACCTTTTGTCGTCGGTAGCTGGTGTTTGATATTCTTGAGACATGTTGACAATTTTCGGTGGTCAGCAGACTGATTAAAGACTACTGAGAGGATAAATAAAGATAAATCAAATATTTTTTCCTACGTCTTTATTTTCAAGAACGCATAATATAGGAAAAAACCCGGTTGACACATCTACTTCCGGGTTCTGAGCGGGTCACCTGACGGTGAAACACTTAGCGCCCCCTGGTGGAGACGCCACTTACATCAGCACTTCTCTGCATTTTCCAGCAGATAACTCAACAGAAATTATGAGTTGGTCAAATTGTTATTTCTAAAAATCTGTTAGAAACACTTAATTAAATAAAAAGATTAGGAAAATTATGTGCTATTTCAGTTACAGGGATCACTAGATGGATGTCTTTATGAACTCGTTTTTACACAAACGTCAATAATCAATATACAAGTGTTCACTTATTCTGGCCTGCAGCCTGTGCTCATTCCAACTCTTTTTTTCCCCAGCACGGGTCACATATGGAAACCAACACAATTATGATGGTCAACTAGTCAGCTGTCTGACAGAAAAAAACAGCAGCAAAAACCTTCAGATGACATATTTTATTCTGTAAAACTCCCCCCACTTCCTCCATTTTCATTCTAAACATTCAAATAGAGGTAGCTGTCTTGCAATACACTGAGCATTTTCATTAATTAATGTCTCAGGACAAAACACTGTCCTTAAAAAAACAATAAAATAAATTTTTGGACTCGAAACAAAGCTTCCAAATATAAAAGTCAGTGTGACAAGTTGCTTGTTCGCATGTGCTGATTTGTTAGTCAGCTTCCCAGCGGTGATTCAAATGTTWTGACATTTCTGCAACTAAAATGTGTCATTATTACTCATCCAGCATACATTATTTGGTCTTCTATCATAACAACTACAGGTAAAATAAATCATAGGAACTAGATGCTGAAAAATGTACATATGCATATGCACATAAATAAAATTTACAGATCATAAAAGAACATGAAACAAAAAGAAAAATAAAATACTTATTTATAAGTTTTGTGCATGTGTATTATTTTAAAGTACTTTAAATCATTTATAAATACCTAATAGGATGCAAAAGTGTTTAAATTTGGCACAACTTTTTATAAACAGGTTTTTGAAATATACCCTTCCAAGAGTCGGAGGTTTTAATAGCTGATTTGTGATTGGATGGCTGGTGTAAGGCAGGCGCACACACACACACACACACACAGACACACAGACATTCTTGCTATGTAAAAAGTGTGTGTATAATCTCTCGTACAAATACAGCAATGAGACTGTTAGGTTAGATGACAGGAGGAGGCATTTTGGGAATGGGGAAGATCACTCTTTTACGAAGGGAGAAGGCTGGTTGAGGCATCTGCTTTATCCGGCCAAAAAGATCGCTCTTCTTGCTAACATCTGCATTCACCTTGGTCATGATGGAGATGAGGTCAGCGCCACTGAGAAAGCAAAAAATAAGCTTCATGTTAACATCAAAAAAGGTAAAAGTACTGATATTGCAGACCAGTATGTTTTGACACAGTGCTCTGTGAAGCCAATGCTCAATTTTAGGGGTGAAAATGTGTGTCTGTGAAATGTAAGCAACGTTAACTGATTCTCAAAAGACTGAACAAAGATAAAACACTGAAATAAAATTTTTGTGTTGATAATGTCGGTTCAGTTCTAGAGTAGAAAAACAAAGTAAATCAAACTCAAAAAACTGTAATTCCTGACAGATTTGTTCTCCTTGATAAAAGCTACGCTGTTGATTTGTTTACATAAGTACTATTATTGTTTGTCAAATAATACAAAGGCCACAATTTGGTGCTTATTTTAATATTTTAAACCTGACTTAACATTACTTTAGTAAATGATTTGACACAGTTCATGACAAAAAAAAGATTAATTCATATAAGTGTTTCAAGTTTTAGAAATAAGTCRCGACTATGCCGGTCCTAATCAAACAATGAGAAGCCATGAGGTGGCTTATCTGCTTAAAACTGCAAAAATTATAACAACTGACTCCCAGAAGGCAGAAGAACAAAAACAATAAATAAATAAATAAATAAATAAAAAACCCAAACAAAAAAAATAAAATAAAATAAACTAGAAATAAAGACACAAAGTGTATGAAAGCTGCGGTACTTTGACAGTGTTGAATATTTGCACCAGAAGTGTACAGTCTAGCTTTGAAGTTTCCTTTTATTTGCTTTAAATCAGTAAAAAAAAAAGGTGAAATGTTGTCTTGTAAAGGAAAAAGAATACACATTTAACTAAGTCTTTATTTATTTAACGACAGAGCTCTGTATATGTTGTATAATGTAATCGTTGTTCCACATTTGATTTATTGTGTTGAAGTCAGGGGAAAGCATGTAAAACAATTATAAAACCTATTTTTGTTTTGCAGAAAAGAGCTGTAAAAATTATTACTAGAAAACATTACAGTCGCCCATCAAATATTTTATCAGTTGAAATTATTGAAGTTCTATGAGTTGGTTGATTATATTTTACAGGTTATGTATAAGGCTCACAAATGTATATTACCTTTAAACAAACAATTAAATTTTGTGAAGAGAGAAAGTTGTTATAATCTGAAGGGGGTAGAGGCGTTTGTGAAACCTGGATTTAGAACTAGTTTAAGGGAGCAATGTACTTCCATACAAGGATTAAGACTATGGAACAATCAGGAGAGCGATGTCAAAATTGCCAGATCAATGTTTATGTTTAAGAGAATGATAAAAGTCACTTTGTTAAAGAAACATGAAACAATATAATGTGTATTCATACGAATTGTTGTTCAACAAGAATTTGAGGTTTGTTTTTTAGTTTTTCTTGTTTGCAGATTATTAAACACATTAGATTGTGTTTCCTTGCTTCACTTACCTGGGTACCATCTGGATAAGATTTTGGCACAATGACTGGATGTACCAGGTGCCAGCATGCTTATCTCTGTAGGAAACATAGTTAGGAACAGTGGCCATCCCCAGCAGGAAATCTGCTCCATTAGGAATGGATTCTGTAGCTCGAGCATCACTGCTAATATCATCTTCCTCCTCTTCTCCTCCATCCACTTCCACGGGTTTCTGCTTTTTCTCGCCCTGACAGGCCTGGATGAAAAACAACTTGGGCTTTTCTACCAAAGAGCGGCAACCCAATCCATCAAAGGGGCTCATCAGCTCCTTGATGGAGACGGAGCAGCCGTCCACTCCGTACACGTTGCCTTCCAGCCCGTGACTCAGAACGCAGCACACCAGGCAGTCCATCTCACTGTGGTTTTCTATGCTGAGCGTCTTCACCACGGAGATCATTTCCATCCTGTCCAGGTCTCTGTGAATCTGCACCTCGAAGCCGAGCCAAGCGAACACTTTTTGCAGAGATTCTGTAAGGAACACAGTTAGAAAAGCAAGTTGCAAACGCTGCGTCCAATCAGAGTAGAGTTCACAAAGCAACATCTGATTTTATCTGAGCAGCCTGAAATAAAAAACAAAATCACCTTCATCAAAAATGGTCCCAACTCGTTCCTTCAGATTTATGCTTGCATTAGAGAAGTCRTTATTGCTCAGTATCACACAGATACCTCTCTTTGCTGCAGTCATTGGATATGCATCCAAACCCTGGAGAGAGAAATCCAAAATGCAAAATTAACACGGACGGGATGATGATATGATTCAGATTTGTTTATGATTTAAATTTTCATTAAAAAAAAGCCCCGAGGTGGGAAAAAACCCTGCAGGAACTAAACTCATTAATCAACATCTGAGCTTTGATAATCACCACAAAAAATAAATAAAATCACACACCACACAKATTTTCAGAGTCTCAGAGGAGGTCTTGGTGTCTTGACTCTCCTTTGCCACACCTGTGTAAAACACGTGTTTTAGTTGTAAGACATCAAAAAAGTTAAAATGTATAATCAGTTMTTAAGATGAGACTAGATTAGCAGGAAGCTCTTACTGGAGGTTGTTTCAGGACCTGTCTTTTTCAATTCATATGAGGCCATATTTAGCAGCTGGGGCTCACAGCTGACCCCAACTTGACCAACATCTGGGAAAGCAAGTTAAAAATAAACAAATCAATACTCTTACAGGATATTACTGGCTTAAAAATTAAATATAAACAAATAAAACAGAACAAACCATCGGATGAGTTGKAAGAATTCGTGGAAGACAGTGAAAGCTAGTAAAGGAATTAAAAATTACTATTACAGAAATAACTTCAAACTACATCAAATCACTGAACGATGGAGACTTTCTGACAAGTTCTTACCGGAGGAAACTGCTCCAGAACTTCAGCAGGAAAAAAAATAAATAAAGAGTAGTTAAGATTACAGATGAAGTGAAACAATCTGTGTAAATTTCTTTGCTTCAGAAGCTGCTGTGGAGTGTTGTCACAACCCAGTGCGTAACTTATTTCCTTGTGTAAAGTTATCATCGTTCTATCAAACATATTTTCTATTGATAATGAACACGTGTCTGTTGTGATATGTAAAAACTATCATTGTATTTGTATTTTTTTATTTTTATTATATTAATTTTTTTATGAAATGAATAAAGTTAAACAATAAATAATTAAAAAATAAATAAATATCGCCCAGCCCTAGGTGATTCAGCACATTCAGTGATACACAGAAAAGAAAACAATTCAAATCCTGATTTACCTGGTCGTCCAAACGAGCCGGTCCTTATAAAAGATGTGGAGATCTGATAAGGTAAAGAACAAACAGTTGTTACTTTTTGGGGTTAAAAGTGTTAATAAGCTTAAAATAACGATAATGTCAAACTTTCTGCTGACAACATACCTGATTTGTTTCTGTAGTTAAAGACGAAGATCTCGGTCGACTCGTTTCCTGAACTATGAAAAGCAAAATAATAATCAGATATTAGATGTTTGGCAGTTCAAGAATCCTTGGTTGTTTAGTGTTGGTCWTTCTGAAGTCTTGTGCTTTAACCTTTATGTTTTCACATAATATGCAGGTTTTTCAGGCCTAYATTTGTCACGACGAGCAGCTTACTTGGTAATGCTTTATACTGSTCGATCTGTTTATTCAGCACAGGACACACTATTTTAAATATTTTCTCCAGCTGGTCGAGATTAGTTTCATTAATCAGGTCCATGTGCTCCATCTCCAAGAAGACATCCAGAGTAGTCTGAAGAGTTAAAAAAAAAAACAACAACCTTAGATACTCTTCACTTCAAACGTCAATAAGAATTACACTWATGGTTTACTTGTTAGTGTGCTTTTTATGTCAGACAGCTATACAGCGGGTAAAATAAGTACTGAACACGTCACCATTTTTCTCAGTAAATATATTACTAGAGGTGCTAATGACATGAA